ATTAACCATTTTATTGCCTAGAAAAGCAGCCCAAGTTATATAACACGTGAATATTCTTTGATTGTTATGTCTGATTGTATTTTATTTGGCCTAATTTTTGTTTTATAGGATTTTGGCACCGACATGTGCAATATGTGAACAGCTCATCCTTCCTACTAAGGTATATTTCTACAGTTTTTATTATTAATATTTTTATTTTGCAGATATTTTTGATATCAAGTGTAATATTTGATATATAATCATGTTTGAAATAACGATTAGTATTTTTTTTTATGTACACAGGGTTCAAATGAGATTGTGCGAGTGATGTCCATGGGAAAAAGCTACCACGTGGCCTGTTATGAAGGAAAAAGCAACATTTAATCACTGTTCCGTCTGAAGAAAATCATAATTATTCATTGTTTATGTTTTTGTACCACTGTATTGTTGTTAAGTACCATGTAATTGATAAATGTTGACATGAAAATTGAATTTAAATACCATATAATATATATAAGTGCCATGATATATTTTTGATATCATTAGTATATCATTAATAGTATTAAATAGCATGTATTATGTTATTAATTCAACTTGCCACCAAACCAAACTGTGTTGTCATAAAAATGGTGTTTACTTAATAATATATATATATTTATACATAAGAGATTCTAAATTGGATATTTCCATTTTATTTAAAGAAAAGTTAATAAAATTGACTATGCAATCTGCCCTTTGCGATTAGTTTGTTCAGGACTTTTATTATGACATTACCGGAAAGAGGCGGAAGTCATCTATTGTTTTCAACGCTGATTTAACATTTGGCGCGTTCAGTGAAAAGTCGCGGTTTAGTGAGTGATAAACATAAGTGCTCACTTATTTAAGATAAATATGGTCTTTTCTGAAACATACCCGTCTCTGTATAACTGACATGGTCCTTTTATAGTGAGTCTGATGTCGATGTGTTTTGTGAAGGGATTATAAAGTCAAACAGGTCGCTTGATGTGTTTGTGTTTCTATTTGTTTTCACGGATAAAGGTGAATAAATGGATCGATACAATGATGTAAAAATCCTCCTGAAGAAATGGGAACAGTCTTTCTTCCAAACAAACAACAGAA